GTCGCTGTCCACGTCGCTGTCCAGGTCGGAGCCCGTGGTTGTGTCCAGGTCGGTCCCGGTCGTGGTGTTGATGTCCTCGAAGTCGCTGCCGTCCGACAGGTCGCTGCCCCGCGGCTTGAGCTTCGTGGGGGCGTACGCGTCCTCCAGGCGGCTCTCCGGCTTCTCCTCGGGGCCCGCGGCCGCCGTGGTGCCCTGGCTGCTGTTGCCGACAGCGGAGACAAGCGGCAGGGCCGGGTTGCCCAGGGGGCTGGGGAGCTTGGCGTCCTGCGTGTGGTTCAGGGGGCTCTTGAGCAGTGGTGTGGGAGGTAGCAGAGGCGGCCGGGGGTACAGGGACGGAGGGAAGATGCCGGGGAAGCCCGGCGTGAGCGTGGGGAAGGCGGGGGGCGCCGCGGAGAAGGGCAGGCCCCCGGGGTGCGGCCGGGAGGGGAAGTACTCGTGGAAGCCCAGGCCGGTGTGGTTGAGGCCGGGGGGGTGCTTGGCCTTGTCCATCACGGGGCTGGGGGTCAGGGGCAGGCCTGCAGCGAAGAGGCCGCCCGGCGTGTAATGGTTCTTGCCCTCGCAGAAGCGCCGGTGCTTGTTGAGGGAGGAGGTAGTGCTGAACATCTGCCCGCAGTCCTTGCACTTGATCTGCGTGCGGCAGTCCGCGTGCATCCGCTTGTGCCGGCACAGGTTGGAGAACTGCGTGTAGGATTTGTGGCAGACCTCACCTAAAACGCCAGCAGAAAGCAAACACAGGCACGCTATAAAATGGCCCGGGAACCTGCGGTGCCGGGGGTGGGGGCCCCGGAGGAGCCCGTGTGGGATGTGAGCACGTGTGTGTGTCTGAGCACATGTGCATGCGTCACTGTGTGCGTGTCTGTCTGTGTGCTCACGTTGGTGTGAGCGCATGTTTGTACACGTGTCTATGTGTACACATGCATGTGTGTCATGCACGTGTAAATGCATGTTGTACATTCAGGTGTGTATGTCATACACATGTGCACAGATACATATATATGCATGTGCACCCCACCCTGGGACTGGCCTCTGGCGAGCAGCATGGGTGGGCAAGGGCCCCTGTGCCTTCCCTGGGGTCCCTGCGCCAGCTTGGACGCATCTTGAAGTGCCTTGACCCTTTCCGCTGGGAAACGCGGTGCTGCTGCCCCTGTGCCCTGCCCACCATGAGCGTCTCATGGGGGCCAAGGTCTTCCGAAATCGTTCCCAGAGGTGAACAGAGTCACGGCACACAACGTGGCTGCTGCTGCACCAGCCAGCCCAGAACTCCCGCCCGACCTCCCTACTCCTGTCAGTGACGCTATTCCAGCAGGGGTGGAGCAAACACTGACCACCATGCTTGGTCTCCCATTTTCTAAGGATTGAAATGCTCTCAGCTTCCCCCACTCCCTTCTGTCCCAGGCCCTGTGACCTGCACCCAGGACAGGGAGGCCTCAGGGTGACCAGCCCCTGGGGGGTCTTAGTTGGGGAGCCTAGACAAGGCCACCATCTGGGGGGGCCTGATGAGAGGGGAGCCCCTGGCAGGGCCACGTGGAGAGGACCAGTTCCACGTCTGAGGAAAGGAAAACCTCCCCCCAAACTGGGGTGAAGAGGCACCACCAGCCTTGGGCGGACAGACGCTGGCCTCTGCTCTGTGCAGGAGAGGGTGGTGTGGCTGGAGTGGCATCAGAGCCCAGAGGCCCGGGGGGCCGCGTCTCAGACATTTTCCCAACGGCCTGTGAGCTGCGCCAGTGAGTGGCCAGCTTTTCTTTCTCCTCTTGTTTTTCTAGCCAGCAAGTGAGGAACACACACACACACACACACACACACACAGAGACCATTTGGCCCTCGCTGTGGGACAGTTTCTTCCTAAAGGCAGCTCCAACGAGAACAATGATTTCAGCGTGTTTCTTGCTGCAAAGCCGCCACCACTGGTGTCAGGCCCTCCTCGCTGGGAGTGCTGGCTCTGGGGGTCCTGTGTCCTTTAACCGCAGGACCTCTTTATGTTGGCAGCCCTGCCCTCCGGGTGCCTGGCATCGCGGGGCAGTCCCAGCGCTGGGGGGAAGAGCGCTACCTCGTTTAATCAAACCTGCCCTTCCTGGGGGGCGGCAGTGCGTCTGCAGGAAGGCCTGCTGGCCCGCCTGCCCTTGGGGAGTGAGGCCACTCCTCAGCTCAGGGCTCTGGGCCAAGCGGGTGACCCCTTCCTGGGTCGATGGCTGCCAGAGGGGCTCTGGGACAAGCTCCCTGTCCCCCGCTTCGCGCTGTGACCACTGCCATCCGAGCACGGACACCGGCCTTGAGCACGTTCCCACCCACCCCGGGCAGCTCCCAGGAGGGACCTCGTGGGCCAGGGGCCGTGCAGGGAGCAGGGGGCCTGAGAGCCTTGGTTCCTCCCCCTGCCTCAGCCACTCGCACTTAAAGGGATGCTGTGGAAGTACTGGGGCTACAGAGAGGCCTCGGGGGACTGAGGTCCCCAGAGAGGAGGTCCTGGCCCCGGGACGGCCTGCAGCGCCGCTGAGGGGAGGTGGCTGCCTGCAGGGGCTGGGGAGGGCCTGGGCGTGGGGGCCAGCGGCTGAGGGAGGGTGCCCGGGCCCTGCCGGGGTGCAGAGAGGCCCTGGCCAGCGCTTGCTCTGGTCAGCAGCTTCTCTCCCCGGTAGGGTGTGGGCACACGCACACATACACACACTCACTCTTGAGAAGGTCCTTTTCTGAAAAGTGCCCACAGGAGCCGGCCTGCCGGTGCGCCCAGATACCCCCTCCCCCAGCTCTCTCACACCCGAGCTCCCTGGTGCAGGAGTCGCCGGGAGGACACACGGCCGTGGGCTGTGCGCTCAGTGAGGCCCGGACCCAGGATCAAGCGTGCGTGCTGTGTGCGCCCCGGGCCGCTCGGCGGGTGGACGGAGTCTGTGCTCACTAGCGCCGGGCCGCAGGGAGCCGTCTTTTCTCGGCCGTGCCCCACCGCTGGCGCTCTGCTCTCTGGTTCGCAGTTTCCTTTCCAGGCCTGACCTCCTTGACCGCAGACCCGAGGATGCTCTGCCGCAGTTGGGAGGATGTGTGAGGCCGGCTCTCACGTCTACTCTCATCTGTATCCCACGCTGAACCTCGGCCAAGTTTGGCGTTTTCCCTTTAGCTTTACCGCTCGGCCAACAGCCAGGGCACAAGGTGAGCACGGGGCGCAGACAGGGGTGGAGAGCGGCTGAGAGCCGGCAGGGCCGGCCGGCTGCCTGTGAGGGCCGTGGAGACAGTGGACTCGGACGCTTCCCCTGTGCCGAGGGTCCCAGAACATGCATCCTTAATGCAATCCAACAAGACTCCACCAAGCCGGTTTGTGAGCTCAGAAACGTGACGACTCTGAAGCCTTCCTAAGCTGGGAAGCTCCCACCTACGACATGTGCGCCCCTCGTGGTGGGACTCGGGGGATGCTCATTCTGGAAGTGGGACGTGCCACCCCCCTCGCTAAGTCCTGCCCCCTCCTCCCACCCAGCTGGCCCCTTCCCAGCCCCTCCCAGAGGGGACGGGCCCTGCCCCGCGCAGGGCGGTGGGGCTGCTGCTGGGGTGCTCTTTGCAGGGCCTGCGGGTGAAGGAGGTGGCGGGTAGGAGGAAGATGGCACCAGTGAGGGGGCCACCCAGCGGAGCGCTGGCTCCCTTTGCTGCCGTGGCTGAGGGAGCAGGTGACCCCGACAGGCTGAGGTCTGCGTCATCTCTGATAGGAAGGCTGAGGTCTGCGTCATCTCTGACAGGACAGCTGGAAGCCTGGACTGGGGGCTGCGGACAGGAGAGGGCACAGCCCTAGCTCCTCGGCATGGCTCTCTGGGGCAGGAGCCCAGCCACCTTGACACTGGTGAAAACACCCAGACCCGAGTCTGCAGGCTCTCAGAGTTTCTCCCTTGGTGGAGCCCAAGAGGTCCCAGGCCACCCAGCCTGGGGTCAGGAGCCAGGCCCCCTGCGCGGGAGTCTGGGCTCTGCAGCCCGGCCTCGAGGGCCTGCTCCCTGGGCGTGGCCAGGCCCGTTTCCTTCTCTGTCAGTTTCCTTCACTTGAAGATTGTGTGGTCCCCGTGCTGTGAGATTTTGTAAGGATGCTGCGAGATTCTGTGTAGGAAATGATGGCTGCCTCGGCACAATGCTGGTGTGAATGATGACTCAGCACCGTCTCATGTGAACAATAACTCAGCTTAATTGGTGTGAACGGTGACTCAGCACAATCTCGTGTGCGTGAGACTTAGTGCCCTGCTAGGCAGAGAGAAACCTTCAGTATCTTCCAAACTCTGAGAACCAGGGTCATGCCCCCACGTCGGCCCACGAGGCCTCCAGAACCTAACCCTTGTGACCTCTGACCCCTCTCTGATTACTGTGCTCCTCAGACACACACCCTCTGTGCCCACAACCCCCTCTTGAGCCTCCCCAGCAGGCCCCCGGGCTCACTCCCACGCTTTGCCAGCTCTCTGCTAGAACACCTCTCATCGGACCTCCCACCACCTGGGCACTGGGCGGGCCTCCTGCCCTGCCCCCGCCCCCCAGGCCGATGCGCCCAGGGCGTGTGCAGTTGTCACCTGCATGGCTCAGCTCTGTCTCCTCTACTGGCAGGTAATCTCCCTGAGGACAGGGGTCCAGTTATTTACCGTTGGCCCCTGCGGCCTGGGCCAGTGCCCGTGCCCAGCCCAGGCTCCCCAAAGGCTGCTGGGGGGTGCACAGCACAATGCAGCGGGCATCACTGGGCTACCAGTACCTGCTGGAGCCCAGGCCGGAGCCCGCACGCAGGGCAGAGGTGGGGACATGGAGGGTGGGCTGCTGGCTCCTTCTGCAGGACCCAGGAAGTCCTCACCACTCACTGTAAGTGAGGGGGAACCAAGGAGGGCAGGAGGGGAAAGCGGGACCAGAGCAAGGCAAGG